TTAATGACAGGATGATCATGACTCTAACATTGTGATTACATTACAATTGTTAATTGTGTTTTAATTGAAAACCATTCCATTTCTTGATCAATGGGTTGATATTGAAGGTTGGAGTGCGAGAATATCTATTGAAATAATGATCATATCAGTAAAATGGTTTTAATAATGCTTTTATTTCTCATTTATTTTTATTAATGGCTGGTTGACATTTTCTTTCTAAATGTTACATTCCTGTTATTTGACTTTTATTTTATGTCGCTTTTTATTACCAGTTTGTTACATTAACAATGACTTCATGTTTAGGTCGAAAGATTTGTTTAGTATATGAAATAAAAGAACTTACTTTTATTTCGTAGTTTCTTGTTTTATTAGTTGATCAGATATTTGTTTTTCTTTATTACATGTTAATTTTTATATTTACAAAAGATTACGTTATGTTCAATAAGAAATCAATAATTTGAAATGTAATTAGGTACGTGAGATACTTTTCTGCAAATTTTCATATCTTTAAAGTTAAAATTAAAGCTTTATTTTATCCTATAATTTTAGATTCGATGGCTTATTTCGTTGTTGCCTAATATGCCGTTCAGTCTCTATTGTTGTTCGTTATATCTTCACAACTACGATTTGTGTTAGTTGAAAGGTCGAAAATAGCATTACGATCTTTTAATTGGTCAGTACGCAGTTTCCTGATGAGAATCCAAAAAATTTAAGCATTTATAAAGAGAAAAACTTCAGGGAAAACGTACATTACACTATGCAGCAGTTATATCAAGTCCAGCAAATATAAAATGGCTTTCCCTCAATTACGACAGAATATATCAGAATAACATGTCATGATAACGTCAAAATGATATTAAAATGATTCGTAAAGGATTGAAAAGTGGAAAAGTTTTAATAATCATTTGAGAGCTATTTTGACGTCATTTTGATGTCACGATGACTTTTGGTTCTGCTTGATTGCAAATCGGCAATACAGACTTATTCCTCCTTGTATGCAATTTCAAGCACATTCAGGCAACCGACATTGCAGTTCGAGTCAGGCGGAACTAAGTTTAAACCGAGGCTTCGAAATACGAGCTGAATATTCCCATGAATTCCCTTCGTCGAGATGTTCGCTCATCTCTTATCCATTTATTCATCTCGTCCTGCTGTCCCGTAATATTGAAAAACTCGGCTTTAACGCGACGGATCGCAAGAACATCGCGGACACGCGACTCGCCATTACATACAGAAAATGGAGAATTGAAAAAAAAAAAGGAAAAATAAGCGAACGCACGTTTGCGTATGCCGGTTCCGCAACGAGACATCCATTTTTATCGATGATCGCCGCGCCCCTGATGTTCGATTCGGCCGGATATTCCGACACCGGAACGCGTCCGCAATAAAACAGATCCGGGCTGGCAGGGGTTGGTCTCTGAAAGTGTCGATGGAATGCGTTTTCAAACCAGCTGGCGAGGATGGCACGGTACTAGAACCAATTCATTTCATCGTTTTAACTATTTTTTATTCTTGAAAACATTGTTATAATTGGCGAATCTGTCGATAACGATTATTATTGTAGCGTTAACATAACAATGTTGCTTTAATGAATCTGTTTTGATGATCTTTAACATGCACAAGATTTAATTATTTATAATATTATATTCGAAAAGTTAACGCGATAATTTAAGCAATTTTAATGTCTTAAATTTGTTAGATCTTTTTGTCCAAATTGATTATTTTATCAGACCAAAGCACGATATTTTAGTTCGTTAAATTAGTTAATTTAATTTTTCAAGTTAAATTTGTGATATTATTGCGATAGTTTAGTAGAGTTAACGTTTTTAAGATCGAAAAATCATTTCGGCACGCGTTTCTGGGGACTACATACGTAGTATATAATTTCACACAAGAATCATACAAACATTTAAGATCCAGCTAGACTGTTTAAGGCTTTTGATTTCTATAGTTTGTATTATCACACATATAATTATATTATATAATTATATTATATATGTGTGTCCTATAATTATATTATATTGTTTTTAAATTTTTTTATTGAAATTAAATTTTTGTGTTAAAATTAAATTGACCAATATTATAATTATTAAATTTTTTTCGATAATTTTATCTGCGTTATGTATAAATCATTTCCTTATAAAAATTTAATACTTATAATACTGGCCAATATAATACTTGCTTATAATCACTTATTTGAAAGTTTTGTTAAGTAATACCTACTTTTAATATAATTAAAATAAGTGATTAATTAATACCATTATTAAGATTCTATAAAGGTTTATCGATATAGTTAATCTTTTAAAAGAAAATTAAATAGGTGTAACACATTGTATTGTGTTTACACTGTGAAGAGATTGACAAAAAGCTCAACTGCCAGGACTTTTCTCTGTTACTCTGTTAATTGCAAGAAAGAGAGAGTGCAGAAATCGCACCATGGAATTTCTGGACTCTCGATTAGTCAAAGTTCTCAAGGAGTAATTACAAAAGGAAAAAGAAAGAAAGCATCTACAGATCCCTTCTTTGGATTACGTATAGTACGAGAAGTGTCGGAGGGAGACTAGAAGATTTCCGTCAGGCGTAAATCGCGGTCGATTCGAACTTTTAATTACGTGATACTTAGAATGGAGCGGTAGCGGGAGAGGAGGCGATGAGAAAGTGGGCGGCGGGCGAACAGAGAAAAAGACGTAGAACAGACTTAAGCAGCACTCGAAACTCCTTCTTAACAAGACCGGAAATCTGTCGAGGGTCCTCCGGGAAATGCTGGCGCGGCGGATGAGATACGCCGTTTTTCAATTAATTAGTTTGGAGCGAAAGAATGACGCTGTAATTGCAACTGCCATCTAGCGGATATAAATCGCGCACGCGCCTAATACCGCGTCAATATAGATACATATATATATTGCGCTACAAAATGTACCTATATCTTTTTTTTCGCGGTTTGCCGCTCGTTCCAAGCACGGTACTAGACCCAGAAAGCAATTATTGCTATTATTTTGTCAGTGCGGGTAGACAATTTTTTATTGGCGCAAACAGATCGAGAGATACGCTCTCGCTGATTTCAAGTTGCGGCGGCGAAATCGGATAACGTTCAAACATTTTCACGCACCCTTCACCGATTCCAATTTAAAAGTTACGCACGGGAGCGTGCAAGAAGTTTCTTCTTCTTTCAGATTTCTAGATGGAACATAGTCTCGTTCACGATCAGAGATCAAGTATCCGTGAAGTTTTATTCGAGAAATCCCCATTCTTCTGTCAGGAAAAATTATTTACGCACGCGTGAAGCTTGCCTCCCCGCCCTTTCGAGGGAGAGAAAAAAAAAGTCAGAAAAGTTAAAAGTCTCTCGCTGCCATCCATCCCGGTCGCGGGAAACGCGACGGCGATAATGGCCTCCTCTGCTCCCACGAGCTTTTTTTTCGAGTCGCCCATGATAAGGGCAATCGGAATTAATTTCTTCGAGGGAGCGAGCAAATGTGCATTTTTAATAGTTTTCCCGCGAAATCCATTAACGGCCATCTCTCATAAGAATTTCCTTTTTGCACAGTTTTTGCGCATTTCTTTTCCTAGCATTTCTGATATCCACATAGATACATACAATATTCTTGGAAACTTTTTTCGAATTACACTGCATGTTCCCGTTTGATGCTATTTTAGATTAGTAATTAATAGGTTACACGGAGAATAAAATTTGAATGAATATGAATTGAAAATTTGATAATTTGATTAGAAAGGCAGAAAGCAAATATTTATAGTTAAATCTATCAAACATTTTAGTCTAATTAACCAGAAATTCTCATTCACGATAATTAGAATTTTAATTAGTATAATCGAAACACTATCCGACTATTTGTCGGAATACTTATATATTACGCTAACACTTAATAAATTCACGGTTTAAAATATAATGCTGGTAACCATATTTACTGTGCGATAATATACAGTGTACAATATGAATATGCGAGGTTAAATCAAAATAAATAAAAAGATAATACTGTTGATTTTAAATAAAAATATTGAAAAATGTCTGGGACGTGTTTCATACTTGTTGCATATATTGCAATTTCACACCTTGCAGGTACATATATGATTTTTATCCTACATTAAATATAGCGACATGGCTTCATAAAATGATTGTTAATCTAGTATAATATTTATTCAGAGTGAAGCACTTAATTTGTTTATTTCAAGAAATTTATTATAAGTTGTGCGAAAAATTGTTACATATAAAAGTTGCGTGAGAGGGATTTTTAAGGATATTATTATAAAGTGTATATATCTTTTTATAAGTGTAGATGATAAAAAAATTTTAAAGTTAACTTTCTTTTTTAAAATGAAATATTATATTTTTCGTGCCATTGTTAGAAGATATGTTTAATTTTGAATATAACATTGATTGGTCTAATAGATGACGAGATATTTAAAGAAACAAAAATTAACAAGAAGTTAGACATAAATATCTCAGATGAATAATTAATTAAATATCTAAGATGAAGCCAGCTATATTTCTAAGTTTAACAACATGAATAAGCGATTTTTATCTATGTTATTCAATTTAGCATAAAAGTTAAGTGTCTGATTCTATATAGAAGTCTATTAGAATACGTTTTGTACTTCTTAATGATATAATCAAATCAAAACATTTTTCTCAGTATACGATAATTTTTCGTTAAATTTTTTTGCTAAAGAAAAGCCGAATTTATTCACGGGTTCAAAAGTAGTCACGAGGAAGCATAAGATTTTTTTCTCAGAGATAATACGACCTAAGTTAAAGCTACAAAGAAGAGACGAGATAAGAATTACTCTCAAATTCTCTAAAGCTCTACGTTGCTCTTTTGGTTGCTCTGAAAAAAAAGTCGAGTAAAATTCTGACAAGTACATCGAGGCACAGCATCAATGGAGATTTCGAGGTCATGCAGAGCGGGGCGGCGAATCAAAGAGGATCCTTTGCAACGAGGAAGTGATTCGCTAACGATGTCACTCTGAAGATCATTTGGAAAACGAGAAGATGTGCTGCTCAGGTGGCCCAGGTGGTATCAGGTTGACCGGATGCGGCGTGATATGCGGTCTCGCCGCGCTGGCAGCCCTCGGCGTCGCCCTTTCGGGTCCAACCTGGCTTCACACCGAGGAAAAGCTTACCGTGCCAGATGTATCGAAAAATTCTGCAGTTAGTGTGAAGTTCAAGCTGGGACTTTTCAGAGTTTGCTCGACGATCGTGAATCCCTCCAATCTGACGTTGCGTAAGTAACTTATACTTTCATAATGATTCAAAAATATGAATAGAGAAAAAGAGAATGATTGGTAAAAGATAAAAAAAAAATAAGCTAATTTCGACTTAAAAAGTAACGTAAATTACATATGCAATCTTATAATTTGAGTTGTTGAATAATGGTATCACTTTTATTTGTTTCAAGTTGTGAAAATGCGTGAAATGCGTAAAATTAATTCATACAGACTTCAGAAATATTTTGAATGAATATATCCATATTGAAAGGTTACTTTTTATATTTTCTAAAGTTGAAAGTTGTTCGTGCTTATAGTCTTGAGAATAATATGATTTTTTTTACTTAATTGTACGGTACAATCACATGAATGAACCTTATATAATGTTAATAAATATTCACGTTGTGAAAAATGATAGATTTCACGAGTGTCTGCGGAGCTTTATAATTGGTTCCGCGAGAGTTCTATCTCTCCTGTTTTCTCGATGAAATCTCACAGTGTGACAGATCTCGCGGAGAATTTTCAGGAACGACAAGGAGTAAACGTAAAAACAAATGACAGCGGTTGTAAAGAGCGCGATAGGAAGAAGGGAGATTTGTGAAGAAGGGTAAGAGGAAAGAGAGGGGGAGGGAAGAAGAGAATATCTATGGATGGCGCGGTTACAAGACTAGTTGCAGTCACCCAGACGATGACAATTCCTTTTTATTTCCCTTACAGTCTCGTCTCGCTCGCTGAAGCTTTGGCGACTTTTATTTCTCTCGCTGTCCTTGCCATTTCTTCAATTCCCGGAGTTCACCCTTCATCCCTCGCGTTGCACGGAAATTACCTCCAAACATTGTTCACTGTCCGTACACAGAGCTGTACTTAATGTATTCTGCGATCGGGCGATCTATCCTTATTGTTCTGCGTTCTCTATCGGGTTTCAGTTCTTTGAGGGTCGCGCAGGAAGAGTTTCATCGTTATTTATTCACGGTGATGGGCGCCGTAGCGTCTATCAAGTTAGTGAAGGTTGATCGGGCTGCGAGAAAGGGTTTTACTGTTTTTTCTCTGTCCCATTAAGATTTGTCACGGTTCGATGGATTTGTCTAGATTTAATAAAATTTTATCTACTACCACGTAATTATGCGATTCTTTACTTCGTATCTACTTCCTATTTTATTTCATAAAAATTAGCCAAAAGCATAAAGCAAATAATTAATTTTCAATAAGTTAAATTAATGTTCAATCACA